TGTGTGTGTGTGTATGTGTGTGTGTGTGTGCGTGTGTGTGTGTGTGTGTGTGTGTGTGTGTGTGTGCTGAACTTGTATCAACCCCTCTCTCTCTCTCTCCGATCTGAACTTGTATCACTCCCTCTCTCTCTCCCTCCCTAGATCGAACCCTCTCCAAATACTCTCGGCGCTCACTCTCTCCCTACAACTACATCTCCCTTCGTCAACACTCATCCTAGCTAGGGCGCACGGCACCAGGTAACTCCTCCAGTACGCCGGAGCAATCTCACTCGACACGTCACACAAGCATAGAGCAGCGCTTCTGCAACATGTGAACAAAAAAGTGAAGTCGCAATTGACAATCTTTGCCTGCTCTGGACCAGTAACGGTGAGCCAGGACCCATGGGATGCAAATTGTTGCCGGTTCCACAAGTTCCTGGACCTTTCCTGGATGCTGCTACTAAATTTGGACAGGGACTGGACTTTTCTGTCGGGTACTGGTTTCTACCGACCTACTGGACTTCTACCGACTTCCGACTCCTAACGACCTACAGGACTTGAATCAGGGTTTCAGCCTCAGGGCCTGCCAGCCCGTGAATGGTATAACATTCGGGACCAGGACATGGGACTGGACTGACATGTGAAATCCTTCCAGATCAATTGATTGGATTGGCTTATTCGATGATTTGATTTGATTTGATTTGACTTGATTTGACTTGATTTGATTGATTTGATTGATTTGATTGATTTGATTGATTTGATTGAATTGATTGAATTGATTGGTTTGATCGATTCGATTGACTTGATTGGTTTGATTGGTTTGATTAATCCAATTGAATTGAATTGAATTGAACTGAATTGGTTAGATTTGATTTGATTGGATTGGATTGGATTGGATTGGATTGGATTGGATTGAATTGGATTGGATTGGATTGGATTTGATTTGATTGGATTTGATTTGATTTGATTGGATTTGATTGGATTTGATTGGATTTGATTTGATTTGATTTGATTTGATTTGATTTGTTTGTTTGATTGATTGATTGACTAGAAACCAGTTCTATACTCGGATGCATCAATCTGGTTCCTTTTCCATTGGCGAATCAGAATTCAATATAAAGATGTAAATTACCTCTGTAGCAATTTCATGCACAACATCAAACTGGCTGCTCTCCAAATCCGCACGCATCTCTTGGGCCGCTACCCTTAACTTCCCTGCTGCCAATAGAAACAACTCAACCCCAGATTCTATGGCAGCTGCCGACAAACAAGGGTCTTTCGGACCAGCCTCCCGCCTATCCTCATTCAAGCCATACTCGGCAGCAGGGTTATGAATTACTTGCACAGCTTCTCCATTGAAACCAGTGCCGACGCTCATTCTGGCATGGCTGGATACTTGAGCATCCATCTCTTCTCTACTATTTAACCCTGGCATGGACTGCTGAGATGTACCTTCCACACCTTGACCTGGAAATTCTCGCCCACTGGTGTTGGGGTCCATCCCATCACTCATGACCATTTGCTGATCTGGTGCGATCAGTTGGCTGTCAGGCCCAGCTTGCAAGCCAGTCACAGCAGAGTGCTGGTGTGCATTCTGATCATTACTTTGTGAGTGTGAACGCCCACCATGTCCATAGTGCACATTTGGGACAGAGTATGCGTGCTGTGACCTCCCAACCTGAGTTTCAACAGGAAAAGCAGGAAGTGAATGGTGTCTTCCAGTGTAAGGCGCCTGCACACCACTGCTTCCTCCTTCCCATGAGCGAAGAGCACCCGGAGCAGCTTGGACCACAGGCCCATACATAGATGCTTGTCTGCTCCCAGGAACACCATCTGGTGTCAAGTATGCAGACTCCGCGCCCGCTGCGTCTTGCCCATCACCTCTGGAACCATCACCCTGAGCTTGGAAGCCTTGCATCGATGAATGTCGGGTTGCTGGATCATAACCTAGTCCCATTCCGTCCCACTCCGGACCGGGCCCATCTCTTCCATGGCCTCCTGGGCCATCATCCCAAGCTACAGACCCTCGCACTGATGTGTGTCTGCTTCCCGGACCATAACCTGGTCCCAACTCCCCACCATATGCACTGGGCCCACCATCTCCACGACCACCAGATGGAAACATGGGACCCTCTAAGGATGGGTGCCTGCTTCCTGAGACCGAACCTGGCACCAATTGCCCAAACTCTGCACCAGCTCCACCTGGTCCATTTTCTGCAGAATCATGAAAACGTACTCTGGGGCCATCAATAGCTGAATTTCTGTTTGAGGGATTGAAACCCGGTTGCAGCTGATCTGACTCTGTCCCAGCTCCACCTGGTACATTGCCTCCCAAACCATCAGCCTGAACTTGGGACCCTCGCAGAGATGCATGCCTGCTTGCTGGACCATAACCTGGCCCAAATGGTTCCAACTCTCCACCGCCTACACCTGGTCCACCGCCTCCAGAATCATTGATTTGCAGATTGGATCCTTGCAAGGATGCATGACGGCTTGCGGAACCATAGCCTGGCCCCAGCTGCCCTGACTCCGCACTGGGTACACCTGGTTCATTGCCTATGAAATCACCACCTTGGACACCAGAGCCTCGAATGGATGCATGCCTGCTTGGTTGAGCGATACCTGGCCCCAATTGCCCTGACTCTGCACCAGCCGGGCCCGCTCCAAGGCCACCAGCTTGAACTTGGGACCCTCGCACAGATGTGTGCCTGCTTGCTGGACCATAACCAGGTCCCCATTGACCCAACTCGGTACCAGATCCACCCAATCCACCATCTCTGGAAGCATCAGCTTGAACTTGGGAAAATTGCAAGGATGCATGTCTGGTTGCCGGAACAGAACCTGCAGAATAATCAGCCTGGACATGGGAGCCTCGCACAGATGCATGCCGGTTTGCAGGAGCATAACCTGCTGCCAATTGATCAAACTGTGCACTTGATCTACCTGGCCCATCGCCTCTATAGCTATCAGCTTGAACCTGGGACCCTCGCACAGATGTATGCCGGCTTCCTGCAACATAATTTGGCCCTGCAGGGGGCAACTCTGCTCCAGCTATACCTTGCCCATCGCCTGTGTAATCATCAGCTAGTGCATGGGATCCTCGCACGGACGCATGTCGGCTTGCAGGAGCATAACCTGGTGCCAATTGGTCCAACTCTGCACTCGATCCAACTGGTTCATTGCCTCTAGAACTATCAGCTTGAACCCAGGACCCTCGCACAGATGTATGCCTGCTTGATGTGACATGACCTGGCCCCACTGGTGCCAATGCTGCCACAGCTACGTCTGGTCCATCGCCTGTGGAATTGCCATCTTGCACTTGGGATCCTCTCACAGATGCATGTCGGCTTGCAGGAGCATAACCCTGTGCGAATTGGTCCAACACTGCACCAGATGCAGCTGGTCCATCACCTCTAAAACTATCAACTTGAACCTGGGACCCTCGCACAGATGAATGTCTGCTCGCTCCCCCTGCCACTGGGGCCAACTCTGCACCAGTTACGCCTGGTTCAGTACCTGTGGAATTATCAGCTTGCACACGGGATCCTCGCACAGATGCATGCCGGCTTGCAGGAGCATAACCTGGTGCCAATTGATCAAACTCTGCACTTGATCCCACAGGTCCATCACCGCCGAAACTATCAGTTTGAATCTGGGACCCTCGCACAGATGTATGCCGGCTTCCTGCAAAATTACCCGACCCCGCTGGCGCCAACTCTGCACGAGCTATACCCTGCCCATCACCTGTGGAATAGTCAGCTTGTAAACGGGATCCTCGCACAGACGCATGTCGGCTTGTAGGAGCATAACCCGGTGCTGATTGGTCCAGCTCTGAGCCAGTTCCAGCTTGTCTGTCCCCTCCACGGCCATCAACCTGACCCAGTGATGCTCTCACAGATGCATGTCTGCTTACTGCACCATAACCTGGTCCTAATTGGTCTAACTCTGCACCAGCATCTCCTGGTCCATTGCCTCCAGGGTTATCCCCTTGAGCTCTGGACCCTCGCAATGACGCATGTCGACTTGTTTGCCCATAACTTGGTCCCGGCTGATCAAACTCGGCACCAGTGCCAAATGGCACGTCACCTTGGGAGCCGTCAAATCGAACTTGAGAACCTCGCACAGATAATTGTCTTCTGTTTCCTGGACCATTGAACTCGACTTCACCCCCAATTGCCTGTGTCCCACCACGGCCATCAACCTGACCCAGTGATGCTCTCACAGATGCGTGTCTGCTTACTGCACCATAACCTGGTCCTAATTGGTCTAACTCTGCACCAGCATCTCCT